TTTACTTGAAAAGGCATTTAATTTAATAAATTAATATTTTGGCCAAYATAATTACAGAATTTAATGTAACTTAATAATCAGGCGTTTATTTTGAAAATGTCTTTAATTCCCTTGATKCCTCCGAAAAATGGTAGCTGTTCGGAAGATTTTCCCGCTTAAAATCTCATTCAACCAAAAAAAAATTATTATTCCTATAAATGAACTAGTTAATGATCGATGAACCAATAAAAATTTTGTTTGTTGACAAAATGACGGTTTCTAAAAGTGTCGTTTCTTGTAAAAATATTTATAAGTATCTAGTTCTCTTATTTTAGTAGTCTATCTGCAAATTTATTTACAGGTCGTACTTAAATAAAATAAAAAAATTATATATAAAAAATCAGTCTGGCTTAAAAAATAGAAATAATTACGCAAAATCTTACTCCTTAAAAGGGTTTACAAAATTCAAAGTCTTTATAATTTAGCGTTAACGGGTTTTGAGTCCAAATTCTAAAGCAAGTGCCAATTTCAAGCCATTTTTAAATATTTTAATTAATTTCAGCCCTTCAATCTTTTTGAGAAGAAAATTAAAATTTGCACACTATTTATTTAATTTTATGAATTTAAATAAATACGTTTTTTAACTAATTTCTATGTAATGTTTTACAATAAAAATATATACAAATTGTAGAATATTATACTGAATTAATTTCAAGTAATTTCAACCGCAGCTAAAGGTATAAAAGCTGGTAAATAATATAATATAATATGATCTCTTATAACGCTTTGTGACTATGACCTCAACACCTCCACCAAATTCAGTAAGCTAACCTGAAAGCTTATTTTAGACGAAATTAACTGACAGAAAGCTTGTGAAGAAAATATATTGACAAAATGCGTATAATTTTAACAAATAAAATTTTTTTTATTTATTTTTTTTTTTCTAATTTAACAATAAAAAAACTCTTTTTGACGAATGAAAATTATTAAGTTCCACTTTTACCGTTAATTATCAGCTCTCAATATACTATCACATTGTTTATTTTTTATTAAAAATTAAAAATAATCGGCTTGTATTGTATTATACCATATATCCCCTGCAGCTGACACACTGCGTATGAGTAACATTATTAATAACTGCCAATTTGTTTCGATTTTATGTTAAAATTTAATAAATTAATTTTAGCAATTCAAATTTAATATAATAAAGTATTAATCTGTCTCTTATACACATCTAATTAATTTTAGCAATTCAAATTTAATATAATAAAGTATTAATTTTTAAYATGCCAGTTTTGTATTATATTAAGCCTATGACAATATATTGTGATGTGCAAAATTTAAATTACTCATACGCCGTGAGTACACACAACTCATGCATGATGTAAGCAGAAATTTGATTGCTCATACGCACTGGATACGTTTAAATATTTTGAACTTRGGTAATATTTTATGATGCTAAAAAATTTTGTAAATATTATATTAAAAAAGTTTGTAATTATTTTATTAAAATGTTAATTGCTAAAAATTTTAGTTACTTTTACACACTGTCCACCATTCTGGAGTTGCTTTGAAATGTTTTGCATTGAAACAATTTTGGAAAAATATTAAAAAATTTATAAAAATAGTTTTTTAAACTAAATTATTCGATGCTATAGACATTGATGGTATTAGTTCTGTTGCTTAAAAATTTAGTATATTACGTTATATTAAAGTTTTTATTGTTAAAAATTGTGTTGAAAAAATTTTGTGAAAATTTAAAAATAGTTTTTTTCTAAACTAAGTTATTCGCTGCTATTGATATTGGTTGTAATATTTTAGGTGTTTAAAAAATTCACTAAATTCAATAAATATAGTGTAATATCTATATTTAAATTTATATTGTTAAAAATTATAGTTAAATTTTGTATTTTGCTAAATTATTAGAAAATTTGTTTTTAAAGCTTAGCTATTCAATGTCGCTGTGTCTAGTGCTAGTTTGAATTAAGCAGTAAACTGGGAAGAGGTTTTTGTAGCTTATTAGTTCACCTATTCAAACGCCTTTTAATTTGATATATCTTAAAAAAAAAAGTATGCAAGGATTCGGTGCCTCACTATATTTGTTTTACTATAATTAAAGTACTTTTGTATATGATTCAATATTATACTTTAAAAAATAACTTTATAAAATGCAATAACTATATTAAAACTTTTGATTGCAGCGTTAAAACCCCAYTCGGCGTCATTGTTACATTATCAACTGCATTACCTATTCAATTTCATGATCACTACTCACCTACCAAGTAGTTAACCACAAATCCATTAAATATATTAAAGCAAATTACTTTCAAAAATAAATTTTGCACTAATATTTTCATAATTCAATTATTTTAATTTATTTCATCGATTTCTATGATCTACAATTGGCTATTTTTACCATTAAATCTTAGTTTACATTAAAACGGCTTACATTAAAACCTGCAATCCACATAAAGCTTAAAAATTATTTAATCACATTGAAAAAATAATAAATACTAGCGCATTGCAAATTTTGCAAAAAAAGAAAAGAGTTGGAATTTCCAAAGCAAGCAAACAACATTTCAAATACACATTATAACGAGTACCTCATTTTAAGCTKCTCTAAGCTTCTTACGCTATTGGCAAAATGAAAAATTGCAAAGGAAATGAAAGGTTTGTTAAACAACGACAACTGAGTGCGCACAAACACACCATACATACTGCTAGCTGTATATT